CAATGGGCTCAGTGTGATGATTGTCCTCGAAAATGGGCGAAGTGCTGTTGTTGATGTTCTTCTCCCTCCAATGTGGACATGTTTCTGCTAACATTTGGGAACTCAAATAGGTATTTAGCATTATTTACTTACTTTTGGCCGAGATGATAAGATTGTCAATTAATCTCCATTTTCTATATCGATGAGCTGTAAAATGTGGCATAGGAAGGTTATATCCATTTGGTATAATGAGATTATCATGTCAGAAAAGAAAAGAACAATATGGGAATATTCCTTACGCTCTTTTCTTGTGATGTCCAGATGGCGCATGTTCTGCTCCTGATGAGATAAGTCCAACAGAAGTAGAAAGTTTTTTCAGAGCTGGGAAGGGTATGAATCAAGTTTCTTCTTTTTTTCCGCCCACATTAAGATGAACACGTCTCTCTCTTTTCCCGGGAAAAAAAATATACTGTTTAAAACATGATTTTTGAGGGTGGCAACAAGAAGTCCAATGCTGGCTGGCGAGTCCCTGAGTGCGTCTATTAACGGATCTGAAAGCATGCTGGCTGCATTATTGATGCTTAATGCAAACCTACAATGTTAAATAGGATCAAGGACATCAGTTTTGTGAATAGGTGATAATTTGATTCCAGTTCTACACTACAGGACATCTGGTAAAATAGTTGGATTTGTAAGAATAAAATTAAGTTTTAAAACTTCAATTGAATATTCATTGAAATTATTTTGAATTTTTCAGTTGCAGACTTTTTATCCTGTTTATTGTGAATATTCAAGAATAATATTTACTACCTTAAATTTGATTTATTGTGAATATTCAACAATAGCATTAAGTACCTTAAATTTGATTTTATGGCTATTGAAGCCAAATGGTTAAAAATTTGAAGAGTCACTTTCAAACCCAACGATTATTTAAGCCATCCTAATCAACTATTCTAAAGACAATTCTCAGTCAAGTGTTTATACAAGCAATATAAATATATACAATCATCTTCTTTTATTTGTTATTTGAGCAACTCGATTCGAGTCAGGTTCACCTCCTCTTTACAATGGGCGTGGTCATTGAGAAGGTGCTACTGCGAGCGTCTGGATTTGATATTGGAGTTGTTGGTGTCCGTCAAAACCCTCACGCGGGGAGGCTCAGATGCTTTAGAACAGTATTCACACGACTTTCGAATTCGCAAACCAGCTATTTCTAATTTATAGTATTTATTTTATTTTATTCTAAATTGATTGTTATTTTATATTTATTTGCATATGCTTGTTAGGTTGTGATCTGGATATTATTTTGTAAAGTAAAATTATATATAATTATGCTAATTTGCCCAACAATCTAAAGCAGTTGAGACTTAAATTGAATTTTACTATTTGAATCACAAGAACTTCACTTGAAAATAATCCATTCACTTTAGACACGGATCCAAAAATTATCAACAAACTGCAGCAAAGCACAATAATGCTTCTTTATTCCTCTACTGTTCTTTTGCTTGGGGCTCATAGAATAGTTTGTTCAATGTGACGGGTGACGTCTTGGGTTTGCCCTTCTACAATCAAGAAAATTGTTGCAAATAAAGTTTTGGGGTCTTGGAAAGAATAAAGAGTAAAGAAGCAAAGACCGTTAAAATTGTGTATTGATGGCAATTATTTGATGTATTCAAAGCGGAATGCAAAAATTATTTCTTGCTTCCTTATGAACCAAAGTCACTAGGAATTTTTAGAGAAATGTCTTTGTCTAATTTTTAGTGGAATTGGAAGCCGGTGGTCTTTTAGTGCTCTTGTCTTTTTACTCCCTTTTAGCTTTTTCTGGAAACAAAACAGTAACAGTTTTCTGGAAAAATAAAACTTGTGACCTGTTACTGTTTTTTGGAAAAAAAAAATAGTTTCTGTTTTTTGCGAAAAAAAAAATCCAGCAGCTACTTGTTTTTAAAAAAAATATAGCTACTTGCTTTGAAAAATAAATAAATAAATAAAGTTTCAAGAGTTATTACAATAATTTAAACACCTTTCTTAATTTCATTACAAATAGAATTTTGACAGTTGACATTTAAATTCAATACATTTAAACTTCGTTACATGAACATATACATGTGATATCTAATTAGTCTAATATCACATTAATTAAATGGACCTTGTGTAGAGTTTTTTTGTATCATAAAGCTCTAGACAAGAGAAGATAGTATTTACTAGAAGAAAAAAACAAGAAAGAGAAAAAAAAAAGTTTTAAAAATATACATAGAACAAAAAATATAAAGCTTGATTCGTACAACTCATAACCACAACCACATGAACCTAGAAGGAAGTTACCAAAATAAGAAACCTTCTAGTTGTACTGTTACAACTCATGGTATTCTGTAACATCCTAACGTATCATATTTCTATCTCACATGAACTCCATGAACATGTCTTTAAAAGTTGGATCCACTGAAGTTGATCAAGCTATAGTTTTAGAATTTGTTCTTTTATATTGATCATATAATTTAGTCTAGATAAATATTAAAAAAAAAAAAGACTGAAGTAGTGAACTTAGGTTACTTCAACTTCTTATTTGGATTAATTAATATATATTAGCATTCCATTCTTTGTAACAATTACACTTGTTTAATATATCTCTACCGTTATTACAAAGCAACGATATGGCAAATCCAATGGTAAATGCTAAGCAAAGAAAAGGAAGTGAGCTAGAAAAGTTGAGTGGTACTTGAGTAGTGTCAACTTGATCTCAAGTTGGATATAAAATTACTTGCTCTTGCAAGTCATTATGTGTGAACCCATCTAGTTTACTGTCATTGGTAGTGTCAAAAACAAGCAGTGTGATAAAAATCAGCCTATTAATTTTCTCATAGGATAAAATATTGCACTTCTTGCCATGGGCTTTTATACAGCACTGTTAACTTGACCATAGAAATTACTTAAGTGAATGACATTTGATGAATTGTAACATGATTTTATTTGATCGGGTGTGAGGTCCTACTCTTTGTGTTATTTATAAGTCTTCAAATTTGTCTAATGCTTGGTTCCATATAAAACTTTGTTAAAGAATATCAAAATAAACAAGAAAATTAGTTATGTGATATTTATGGTCAATGGACAATTACTAACTATGCGTTTTTAATATTTTATAGTGCTACCATTTATTTTATGGATTATTTGAAACTATAACTGATAAGTTACAATTATTGTCTAACAGTTGTCATTAAATCTGGAATTTTTGACTCATTTAATTACTAATATACGTTTAAAACCAGTGGACTTAAATAGTTCAAAAACATGGTCAAGTTTTTGTTCAAAAAAGTTTCTGCAGTACTTCAGTACTTTAATGATGCTTAGACCACAAGAGTAAAAATATATTGAGTTAAATCTGTATTGCTAAATTAGACTAATTACTTTTGAAACTCATACAGTGTACCATCATGATTGTTTTACATCACTTCTGGGAAAGTAATTATTTTTGTTAATTCTATTTGAATTAATAGAAATATTTGATTTTGAAATGTGTTATTTTAAATGATGATTTACCATGGGAAGAAATTATTGATGTGCAGTTAAATGCAATTTTAGACTTCGATAATAAAACATTAATTTAAAATGTTGAAAGCCAAATAATATCTAGTATGGTGAATAATATTTGAATTTCTGAATGCCACAAATATTGATTCTAGGATTTCTTTGAAACATGTAAACCTTATCACCCAATTGAACTACTAGATTAAAAAAAAAAAAGGCTTATCAAAAAACTGGTGTGACTTAAAAGTTTAGCAATAGAAATTTAGAGTTATTGGGTGCTTGGTAAGAAGTACTGTAGCACCACATTAGCTTAGTGCACTGACGTGATTTTAGAAACCCAATAAGGAGTGTTATTTATGAATTAAATTTGTTTGACCAAGCTCCGACATCTGACATATTTTGGTGATTAGAAATTTAACATGCATTTATTCTCTAGTTAGTGAGACTATGTAAAATTTTACAAAGTTGAGAGATAGAATATATTATTGTTGGGTCATGACATGCTATAAGCTACTTCTACTAGCTTTACTGCTTGATACTGGTATGTTGATGTTATGATTATAACACACGAACTATATGAGTTGGCAATAGCGTGATGTGATGCAAATGCTATTTTATGAACCACATGAATAAATTATTTAACTCAAATTTTAAATAAAGAGCTAAAGCATTAGTAACTCTCATGAAAAAAAAATTGAAATGTGGGGGTATAATTAAAAAGATATCTCTTGGATTCGCAATTTGAATTTTCTTAATGAGATGGTTTTATTATATGTCCGTTTGTATCGAGGATTGCAATGATCTGTTGAGATCTTTATTGACTATGCTGGCGCTTAAAATATTCTTAGACAAATAATTTTTAATGTAGTGTTTATCTTTGATATTTGAAAGACAGGTCAAGACAAATATCAAATAGAGGAATTAATAAGGCGTGCACATCTGAGCGAAACTTTCATCTATGAAGAATGATCATTTTATATTGAAATTATAAATCTCAACCAAACTAAGCTGACAAATAATTATACAGCTTTCGAGGAAAGTCATGAGACATGAATATATGAAAGATAATTAATTTCATCAATGAGCTTTCGAGGAAAGTTAAGCTTTTGAAAAAAGTTGTGTTTCAAGAATTGTCGAGGGGGATGAGCCTAAGTCCGCAAGAGAGTCACGTACGGAGGTAATCTAACTTCTGTGATTAGGGACCTCATGAAAGAAGTTCAATGAGTAGAAACAATTCATACTGCGTGACTCATTAACACCGTTGTTGAGAAAATATCCTAAGAGGAGATATTTTTATGCTCATCCTTATGGCAGAAGTGCATATGTAGTGTGACGGCAAGAAAAGATTTTATCCTGAATGAGACCGAGGTAGGAACCCTCCTACAACTAGACTTGAATTCCCATCCCAACCGCGACGAAGACATGTTAGCAGAACCAACTGGACTTAGCATGACAAGCCTTGTTCATTCCCCGAGCCATCAGTTGGAGATGTATTTGAAGCAGAATGGGTTTGGAAATTTTGTCTCCCGTTTAGTCTCAACAGCTGGTGGTGAGAGTGAATGCCGCCCACCTGATGATGGCCGGCAAGCAGCTTTTGCCAGCGAGCAGCAAGACAAGGGTGATGAAAGGTGATGATCAGAGACCAACTAAACGGTTAGAGTTTTGTCTTTCTTTCGTTTGATTACATGTGTATTCTTATTTTAGTACGGTAAATTTTGAGATCAAATTTAAAGGTTAGATCACATGGTAATTAAATTGAGTTTTTTTATTTGGTGTCATGTCATGTGGGTCCTAATAAAAGCTCCCATATCATTTAGGCTACAAATTTGATGCCTAATAAAAGCTCCCAACAATGTTTATATGTTTACATTATATTGGCTTTTTGTATAGTTACATTATACACTTGATGCACACACATACCAACTAGTAAGAAAGAGAGGGGTGAGAGAAAAGAAAGGATATTATTATAAACAATGCTACAGAGACTTAATTTATAGACATAATTTGTTGATCTAATTCATTGTAAAATTTGGATTGATTGTAAATAACCAATATTGAATGCTAGAATCGCTAGTTAAGGTCGGCAAACAGATGATGATGACCCGTGGTGAAAATTAAATTATTAATTTGATAGATTATAGGTTTTGGGGTGTTTAACTACTTCGTACTAATTTTTTTTTTTTTTTGTAAATTCATTAGCAATTACTTGAAATTGAATAAGTAGTTGATTAAGTAAGTGATGACTTGAGTGGATAATTTTTTTTTTTTTGGCCAACTTGAGTGGATAATGACATTGATAAATTGTAGATGAAGTATTCCAAAAAAAAGGGGTTTGGTGGTGTTTGACTAATTTTGACCATTTTTTTTGTAAATGTGTTAGTAATTAATTGAAATTGAATAATTAGTTGATTAAATAATAACTGAGTCTAGTGGTTAATGACATTGGTAATTTATAGATTATTTGGAATTAAATTTTAATTAGTAACTTATTGAATTTGGTGATTTGTAGATTATTAGAAATCAAATGATAAAATTTTAAGAATTTCAAAATCATAAATCGTGTAAATCTAACTAATTATTTAAAAATAGTAAGGTGAGAAGGTATTCTTGCTTTATCACATTTAGTTAGTGGATTAATATAATCTTGCAATTGGTAAAAGCGTATTTTGGATATTTTATTAAATTTTGTTGATGATGTCATCTTTTTTATGTACTTGTTTTGATGTCTATCATAGGTGCGGCTGTCACACGTGTTTGAATGTCAAGGGTCTCAATATAATTTTAAAAATATGATAGGGGTGTCCATGTAATAAAATCAAATATCATAGTGTAATTTATCCTAAACAATTTTGAGGTACAGCTGGACTATGTGGCAGTACGTGGCCAGGCAGTTTTATTAGCGCAAACTTGGGCCAGGCTGACCTGGACCTTCTGGCCCATAGACAGCCTTAGCCTGATTGTTAAATATAGATATAAGGGTTTTTTTTAGATTTATGTGAAAAAAAGTCTATAGATAAACTGTTTACTCTATTAAATTTAATTTTAATAAAATATATTGTGTTTAGATACAACATTTAAATGAAATTAAAACTATTTTACCTAAATGTCCTCCCTTAAATTATGCATTTTTAATTGACAGTTATATATCTAATAAAAAATGTAAAGATTTCATTAGACTCTCTCACTATCTTTTTCCTATTTTTTCTCTATCTCTCTCTCTTTCCCCATTTCTTTCTCCATCTCTCCCCTATTTTTTTCTCTATATTTATCATTGACAATTTATTTTATTTTCAAATATATAAAGATTTGAGTTATTTTTTCATCCCTCTCCCCATTTTCTCTCTCTCTCTCTCCCTCCCTCCCTTATTTTCTCTAACTATTTCTCTTTATCCCTATATTCTTTCTATGTCTCTCTATTTATATCAATATTACAACACAACAATTACGCTAATCAATTTCACCAATCAGTTATAATTGTCGTATCGTACACCAAATAATTATTCATGTGTTCTAATAAACCAAATAGTTACACCAACAATTACACAAATTTATAATATCAACTCAATTTTTCATTGAGTTGTTTACAAAAACTAAGTAGTTGCACTATTTAGTATCGTGACATCGTTACACCAATTATATATATCAAATTTAGTATAATGGTAAAGTCTTTTGCGTAATGATAAACACAATTTAGTCTATATAATTGGTGTAATCATATCATGATCATACTAAATGGTGTAACTCTTTGATTTATGTAAATAACTAAATGATAAATTGACTTGGTTTTGTAATTTTGTATAATTGTTTAATATAACTATTTAGTTTATTAGAACGCATGAGTAACTGTTTAGTGTAATATAGGGTAATTGTAACTAATTGATATAATTGATTAGTGTAATTATGTTTTTGTAACATTGATATAAGAAGAGAGAGAATAAGGAAATAAGGGTAGAGGGAGTGAGAGATGAAAAAATAGGGGGAGAGAGAGATGAAAAAAAATTAAATCAAATATTTACATATTTAAAAAAAATTATCAATATGAGAGAGAGAGAGAGAGAGAAATAGGAAAGAGAGAAGGAAAGAGTAATGGAGAGAGAGAGTAATTGAGTAATAAACACCATTTTAGTCTTTTATCAAAAAAATGCACTTAGAGCCAAATAAATTTCTTTAATATAGTTTACTTCAAATATGTCTAAATTTTTGAACCGTCTTCCAAATTACCCATATAAATAACTTACCACGAGCACGACCCCAATTTGTTGTTTGGTGATATGATAGATAGCCGTTGTTGGCTCCTTGGCTAAGCCTAGCACGACATAAATGAAATCTTGATAATTGAGGTTAATGGTTGGCCTAATATTCATGATCTTAGATCTTAAGATCATAAGTTTGAATCTTGTCGTTCTCCTCCCCACAATGATGTCTAACAAAAAAAAAATAGTCTTGATAATTTGGTGTTAGCCCAGCTAGATCAAGATGTTCATCAAGTAGTTGGGTGGCTGTGAATGTTATAGTCTTGATAATTTGGTGTCAGCCTAGCTAGATCAAGATGTTCATCAAGTAGTTGGGTGGCTGTGAATGAAGTATTTAGAGCATCTCCAATAGTACTTTTTATTTAATCATTATGGGTGGTCTAATAGTTAGGTCTGTCATTTGATAATCTAGATGGGTCAGTTACAATGGTCAGTCGTCGAGTTTAAGGAAGTAGTCGGTGCAAGTTTAAACAACCTGTAACAAGTCATCCATATTAAGATTAGAATAAATGAAATATATAAATAAAATTAAAAAAGAGTTACGTGTAATTACTTAAAAAGAGATAAAAGGTATCATAGACATTTTAAAAGTGGACTCCAAACGCCTTGTTTCTCTTTGATTATCATTAGTTGCCTGCATTGGAAAAATGAGCAAACCATTCTTCCTCGTGTTACTGCAATGGATCATAGTCGTTAAATTAACAGTGAGTTCTAACTAATAGTAAAGTCACTAAATAATGTCACTAAAAAAACTCATATTTATAACATGCATAGATCAAACTATCTTACTAAAAATAAATTTTACTTAATTATTTTTATAACCAACGAGTACAAATACATCGGACTGAAAGTTATAACTACAAATCACATTGGGTATGGTACTTAAATAATTTTTAGTGTATATCATAGCTTTTTTCATTTACGCAGATAACTCTACTTACTATTACATACTTATTTGTATATAAGAAGATTCAAGCTGCAATATACAAATTTCCAGCCAAGCGTGGCTGTGCTAGAGCTAGTAGTGGGTGAGCTAGAGAGAGATCAGTCTGTGCCTCTCTGAGGTCAATACTAGACACACAGGGTGGAAACTTCCAAGTGAACCCTTGAAGAAGCCTAGCCAAAAGCATGGCAGTCATGGTAGAACCCAATGTCACCCCCGCACACCCACGCCTTCCTGTGCTAAACGAAAACATCTTCAGCTCCGGGTCAGAAAGCCCCACCTCCGAGCCAGCGTCCTTCAGGTGGCGCTCCGGCTTGAACTTGAGTGGCTCCTCCCAAACTCTCGGGTTTCGGCCGAGTCCCGGTCGGCTCAGCATCACGTGACTACCCTTAGGGATGAAGTAACCGGCGACGGTGGTGTCTGCGAGGGACACGTGTGGAACATTGAAGGGTGCAAGGGGGTGAAGCCGAAAGGCTTCTCTGGCGCATGCTTTCACGTAATTGAGGTGTGGCAAATCGGACTCTTGGACTAATCTCTCTTTTCCAACCACTCTGTCTAGTTCTTCTATGGCTTTTTCAATGGTCTGGGGCTGATTTATCATCTCTGCAAGTGCCCATTCGACAGCATTTGATGGATTGTCCACTGTTGCTATCATTAGTTCCTGTGAAGTACACCAATTAATTAACGCTATTTTGTGAAACCATTATTCTTTAACGATATTGCACCAGTGCAAAAGCAGCACGACATTACTCTTTTTTTTTTTGACAATAAGGTATGAGATCAATGATAAATATTGGGTGTAATCGACACTACAGTAGTGTCACGTGGCATATTTATCCACTAATTACTATCACGTGGTGTTTTCGTTCACTACTAAGTAAACAAGTCAGCAAATGAGTTTCACAAAAATTCGTAACAACTTGTAGTGCATAACTATATCCATAATAGATAGAGTAATATTATTGGGACATAATTTATGAACATAATTTGAGGACATAATGAGGTATCACCAATGATATGATAATGAATTCATTAATACTACAATGAGACTATCATTAAATATATTTTCAATAATGCTAGACTGACCAAAATTTGGGACCAAATTTGGAGCCCACATGACATGACAGTTGACTTGAGTTTCTTTGATTGATGTCATGTCATTTGAGTCCCAATAAAAACTTCAAATAATCAATTGTCATGTCATTTGGTTTCTAAATTTGGTCCCAAATTTTGGTCAGTATAGCATTACTCATATATTTTACTATCATTTCATTGGGGACACACTGAGTTGTTCCCAAATTATGTCCTTCAATTATGTCCCAATAGTATTAGTGTAATAGAAAAGAATATTGCTACACTGACCAAATTTTGGGACAAAATTTAGAGCCTAAATGACATGACAGTTGATTATTTGAAATTTTTATTGGGACCCAAATGATATAACATCAATCAAAAAAATTCAAATCAACTGTCATGTCATTTGAGCTCCAAATTTGGTTTAAAAATTTGATCAATCTAGCATTACTGAATAGAAAATGAGTTTTATTTTATTCACTTTTGTAATTTTTTTATTGAATTATTATACCACATTAACATTATTGATATAGTGTAACCGTTACACCTAATATTTACTTAAAAAGAATATGCAATATTAAGAGCTCCTGGTTAATTTCCAATGCCATGTTTAACATCACTACTCTCATGTGAGAGTGTGTGTGTTTGTATGCGAGAGAGAGAGAGAGAGAGACTTACAACTATCTGGCCTTTGATCTCTTCAGCTGACAACACTGGTCTACCATCTATATCTTTGAGAGTAATCAGAACATCAAGCAAGTCTTCTTTTTCTTTCTTACAACTTCCTTCCATTTCCCAATTCTTTGGTCAATTTCAGGATCATGATATTTTCTTACAGTCCCAAGAGCTTTCTTCATAATCTTCTCATGCCCATCTATGTCAAACACTCTTAAACATGGTAAATAATCAGAGATACAAAAAGAATAAAGGTACCCAAGAATGGTGAAAAGCCCGGCGACATGCTCTTCCTCTTCAACCCCTGGTCCTCCATCTTCCATTCCTTTTCCGAAAAACCTCTTTCCAAAGATCATTTTCCTTATCACATTACCACAGTAATGCTGAGTGGCAATTCTCACATTCACTACTCCGCCTTCCATGGTGGTTTTGCACTGGTTATACACGTAACGAACAAGGTGATCAGCTTCTTCGTCTCTTTTGCCTTGAAGCCACCGGTGTTTCGCCGGAGAAAGCACCTCAGAAGCGAGGATTCTCCTCATTTTTTTCCATTGTTCTCCAAAGGGAACAAGAATTGCTGCCAAGTAACCGTTGCTAGCAAGTTCAGCAGCCATGCAAATGGGTCTAGATGAGAAAATGGCATCTTGATTCTTCAGGAACTCTCGTCCCAATTCAGGACTAGTAACTGTGATAACATGAACGTTTCCTAGACGAATACAAGCTATTTCAGTGTTCATTTCATCCATAAGGTTGTGTATCCATTGGAAGACGGGTTTGTTTCTAAGCATTTCGGGGAGATTTCCAACTATCGGCCATGGTTTTGGGCCAGGAGGAAGTGGTGATTTGTTCTTATTCCCAATGGATTTGTATTTGTACTTGACAAAAAGAAAGAACAATATTGCCACGAGAAGAAGAATAGAGAAGGAAAAGCTCAAAAGCATTAGTGGTGATTCAATTGAGACCATATGTTGAGAGCCAGGAAATAGGGTTGAGGAGTAGAAGGAAGTGACTAAGGTGTTATTGTTGATCTTCATGATCTTTTGTGTTTTGTGTGATTGCCTGCTGGCTCAGAGAGGGTTGTTGTAATGGTTGCTTGTGTGCTTGCTGGTTCGTAGTATTGGCTATAGCCTTTTTATACTGGTTGTGCATGAAAAGAACTGCGTGAATCAATTGTGAAACATGAGATCCTCAAGTCACATGTGAAACACGGGAGCCATCGATGACGTGGCCAAATGTTTAGCCATGAACTCCTTGAACTTTGTGATGAATTTCATCCTTTAACCTCTCAAAACTTTATTTTTGTTGTTTTGAAAATAATTTCATAAATTAATTTTGTTAATTAATTATCAAAATTTCAGCGTCATTAATTTTGTTAAGCTCTAGACGACACGTGCTTTTATGTTAATTCAAAAAATCACATATTTATAATTTTTAATAATTTTCATAATATTAGAGATTTTGCTTTAGTTATGGGAACTATTAGAGTTTTGATCATTCTTATTTATACTACTCATTTGTACTACGGATTATTAATTCAATAAAAATCATATTTTAGAGTTTTATTTATTATCTATGTGGATTCATAGTTTTCCTATTGGCTCAATACATAAAGAACAATAATATTCTTTGTGCTCCCTATTCCTCTACGTCAGTTATTGTAATTATAATTGTCGGTGTTCTTCATTCTAAGTACGTATATTACTTGAAACAATACTAGATAAGATATTTAAATCCAAAAATAATATTTTTAAAAGAAAAATACTAAATAAACTTAAAAATCTTACCAAAAATACTAATTTAATGATGATATGCTAGTTGATATGATTCATTTGTAAAATAACATTAATATTATTTAGACCTATTTTGCTGAATAATTTTGTTGACTTAATTCAACAAAATTATTTCAATAGTACTAAGTCTCACCTAATATTTGGATTTACTATCAATTTAATATATGATTGATTAAGTCAATAAATTAGATTAATAAATTAAATTTTAAGTAACATTATATTATTTTTTGGGGGTAAATAATAACATTATATATTATTGATAAAGGAGCTAACACCATTCAATAGCATTATTCTACTTGCAATTATTAATATTTTTTAATAAACACTATATTACTTGACACATCATTATGTTAATTAATTAGATTAAAATTTTAAATTATATAAAAGTATTATTTATAATTACACAGATTTGACGCATGTCGTGGGTCAGAACATGGGGGATGAAATTATTTGGAGTCGTATTCAGTTGAATAGAATTCAAACAAAGACTGCCCCATTCGGACAAAATTTCCATTGCAAATATCATGTTATTACTATTATCACGTAATATTATTTTTTTAATTACAAAATTATAAATGGGTTAATTTTGCTATTTTCATAAAAATCAATTACGGGGTCATTTTTAAGGTTTACTTTATCTATTTTGTCATTTTTTAATTGAATAGTGATATCACGTGATGAATAATGATATGGTGTCACCGTTATATTGAATATTTTCTCCATTCTCAAGGGTTTTAAAAAGTTACTATATTTAATCGGGTCTAATTACGATACTGAAAAAATGATATTTTTCAAGACCCAATATGATTTGTGGCCTAAAAGACAACTAAAAGAGGCTTTTATTTTTAATATTGATATTTTTTATTTAAGATTTATTCTTCTTATTTTTTTAAGTAAAATACTAATAAAATTTTTAGGTTTAAGTTTTAGTATTATATCTTTTTAAATTGATAGTATCGTTAATTTCCTTAATATTTTTTGTGATAGTTGATTTTAACTAAGATTTTATTAATTTTAATATTGAAATACTTTTCTTGGCAGAAGCAATTGTTGGAGGAGTTGTCAATAATTTTGAAAACGATGCATATCTGAAAAAGAAATCTAGCCTTTTATATCAATTGAATTGCTTTCTTCTGTTTGTAAACTTTTCTTTAAAAAGTTATAATTTAAAAAATAAATCTAAACCAATCACTATAAAAAAAACTGTCACGTTTTACAAAACATTCAAGAATAAGATAAACACAAACCATAAAAGGAAGGATTTGTGTTATTGGAGAGAGAGAGAGAGATGTTTTAAGTTTTGTGTTTTTACAAGAAAGAGAGAATGAGTGGTGCATATTTGGTTGAGATTTTGCTCTCTTTTTCCCAAAAAATTTATTTTCCTGAGTTTTTAATATTATGGGATAAATTCATTGGCGCAGACTACCCAAATTATTTTTGATGAGGTTTACATTTTCATAAGATTTTTTTTTGGGGAGCGGGGCCTAAAATTTGTAGAGTCGTCTTTGAAAATAGGGTTTAAAATCCGAATATTGTTGGCCTTAAATATCTCCCATTTTCAACTAATCAAAGCATGACTAGTGTAAAGTGTTGTATATTTTATTATTTTATTTTACTTTATTATTTTCAATATCAATGATTACAAGTAAAATAACCTAAGATCTCTACCTAGGATTCATTTTTCCATGTGGTGTTGCCCTTTTCTGATGCCTCACGACTCATACGTCTTCCTAGACTCAATGAAACTCTCTACCAAACCTTAATCCTAAATCTCAGATATTTCAGAACATCTAGTGGAGGAAATAAAGCTGTACTTTTCAATGAAAAATAATGAAGATGGTCATCACTATAAGGTTTGTAACCGATTAATTATGAACAATTATATAAGACTAGTGAGTGGGCTTAATCACTAATAATTTTCACATTCAAAAGTATCATGCAAGAATTAGTGAGGTTCACTTGTCTTATTTATTTATTTATTATTAAAATGGTTACATCACATGACGATAGTAACATGATATATAACCAGTACATTGAATATCCTAAATAATTTCGAATTTTTTCCTACCACACGAGGCAGATAATTTAATAATTTCGATTTTCTTCCTACCACACAAGGCAGATAATTTAATAATGTGAATTGAACCATAGTTTTCATATGGTTCAAATCACATGGAATGTCCGAACAAAAAAAAGGGGTACTTGCATGTCTATTTTCTTTAATTTCCCACGCGTGTTAAACGTTTTTCCTAGGTATGTGGTGGTAGGATAACCGTAGTAAACGACAAGTTTTATGCCAAACTTCCACGCTAAGACTATTTTCAAAAAAGGCCGCTCAACTTAATTTGAGGTCTAAAGCAGAAATATTAAATAAAATTTTTTTATTTTTAGTATTATTTTTAAAAAAATAATAATTTATTTTTAATTTTTTATGTGAGAGAGAGGCAAAAAAAAATGTGTTAATATTATCGAGAAAGAAATTTCAACTTTTATTTTTATTTTTTACCAAAGAGAGGGAGAGATAGTGTTTAATTTCAACTTTTATTTTTGTTTTTTATTTTTTTTATGGGAGAGAGAGAAAAAAAAAGTGAGTGGGAGTAAATATGAGTTGACTTTTGAGTATTTTTTTAATTTTTTTATTTATAAGTTTTTAATATTATGGATTGGATTTTATACCCAATTATTACAATAAAAATTTTGATTCAATTTAATTTTTTTTGGATTTTTTGTAGGGCTTAAAATTTAATAGATTTAATTTTTTTTGTGGGCTAATGATTTACCTAAAATTATGAGGCCTTCTAAAAATTTGGGGTCTAAAGCCTATGTTTTTTTTCCATACGGTTGGGCCGGCCCTAATTTTAAGTGGAAACCTTTTTTTTTTTGGGTGTGGGTACAATTTTTTAAACTTATTTGAGCAAAAAATGTATGAATAAAAAGACAGTTTTTACAAGACAAATAATGCGATTGGACTAAAAACTTATTAGTCTTTAATGGAAGCATATACCCTTACCGAGTAAAAAAATAGGCAAAAAACTTAATTTAGTATAGACATTTTCTATTGAGCAATTCAAATTTAAAGGAAAAGAAATTTAAATTTAAATGAGGTAAAATTCAACTTTAAAAAAAGATAAAATATGACAATTTGATCTTTAAAGAATGGTAAAATTCCACCATTAAAAATTTGGGTATACATTTGAATTTTTCTTAATTTGAGTTAAAAAAAAAAATTCTCTTAATTTGTTATAGATATGTGGAAAAGGTTTCTAAAAATTTTTTTGTCCATATTTAAATTTGAGCTTCAAAGAGGGTAAGGATTGAAGACACTCTAAAGGGTAAGAGTTTGAGAGAAAATTTTGAATAGGTTCGTGGGTGACAGTATCACGTAGGGGTGTTCATGGGTCAGATTATCCACGGGTCCTGTTACCTAGCCCGAAATTCGATATGCCCGATAGTTGGCCTGTCCGAGACCGAGCCTAATATCCTTTAAAAAAAAGCCTAGGTTTACCCCTAAACCCATTACCCGACTCGAAGCCCAGCCCGAAATTGAAGTCCGACCCAATAACCTGTCCACATATTTGAAACCCACTCGAAGTCCATACCCGCCCATATATGTTTATGTTAAGAGGTAAAGACTTTTGTTCAAAAAAAAAGAGTTGGAGACTTGAATGAATGGTAGTGATGCAATTTCTCTTCTATTCATAAAAAAAATTATTCACTATTTAATTTTTGTCTATTTTGATTTTGACTATACTTTTAATTCAAAACTATAATTTACAAAAAAAATAAATAAAATTGTATATTTTTTCAATAGGGCCCAACAAGCCCAATAAAACCAGCCCAAAAAACCCGCCTGCAAAGTCCGCCCAAAAGGTGACAGGCTAAGCTACGGGTAGTTTACCCCTACCTGAAGCTCGGCCGGCCACTCGCCTGAGTACAAGTTTGGGTCTACACTACTCAAGCATGATTCGAAAAAAAATTTACGGACCAAGATCGGTCCGGCCCATGGATAGCCCTAGTATCACGTAATGTACATATATAATGAGAATTTATCATAAAATTAAGTTATGGGATACACAAGTTAACTTTTTTTAAAAAAAATTGACAAAGTGATAGAAGATATTCATTCATCAGGAATGTAAAATATATTATTGGTGATGTACACCACCCGACATTAAGACGTGGTGTGTTAATTCCACGCAATTTTTTAAAAAAAAAATTATGAACACACATAAAAAAGATACATACAAAACTTTTAACCTTTAGCCTATTAGTGGGCCAATAGTCTCATTTTACGCCCCTCAA